AAAGACCGATCAATATTTAATTTATTCATCAAATTAACGCGGATAAATGAACGATTCGTATAAATTTTTTTTTCTTATAGAGAAATGAAAGAGTAAATCAGTACCGAAAATCGAATATCGATCGATACCGTAAATCTGTGTCAGAAAATTGTCCAAGTGCAATGACAATTTGTTCTCATTTTTCAGGTACTTACCCCTCTAATTTTATTCAACAAATTAACTTGGATAAACGAACGATTCGAATCAATTTTTTTTGTCTTTTAAGAAAATGAAAAAATAAATCAGTACCGAAAACCGAATATCGATTAATACCATAAATCAATGTCAGAAAATTGTCCAAGTGCAATGACAATTTGTTCTCATTTTTCAGGTACTGACCCCTCTAATTTACTCAACAAATTAACTCGGTTAAACGAATGATCCGTATCAATTTTTCTTTTTTTATAAATAAATGACAGAATAAATCAGTACCGAAAACCAAAGACCGATCAATATTTAATTTATTCATCAAATTAACGCGGATAAATGAACGATTCGTATAAATTTTTTTTTCTTATAGAGAAATGAAAGAGTAAATCAGTACCGAAAATCGAATATCGATCGATACCGTAAATCTGTGTCAGAAAATTGTCCAAGTGCAATGACAATTTGTTCTCATTTTTCAGGTACTTACCCCTCTAATTTTATTCAACAAATTAACTTGGATAAACGAACGATTCGAATCAATTTTTTTTGTCTTTTAAGAAAATGAGAAAATAAATCAGTACCGAAAACCGAATATCGATTAATACCATAAATCAATGTCAGAAAATTGTCCAAGTGCAATGACAATTTGTTCTCATTTTTCAGGTACTGACCCCTCTAATTTACTCAACAAATTAACTCGATTAAACGAATGATCCGTATCAATTTTTCTTTTTTTATAAATAAATGACAGAATAAATCAGTACCGAAAACCAAAGACCGATCAATATTTAATTTATTCATCAAATTAACGCGGATAAATGAACGATTCGTATAAATTTTTTTTTCTTATAGAGAAATGAAAGAGTAAATCAGTACCGAAAATCGAATATCGATCGATACCGTAAATCTGTGTCAGAAAATTGTCCAAGTGCAATGACAATTTGTTCTCATTTTTCAGGTACTTACCCCTCTAATTTTATTCAACAAATTAACTTGGATAAACGAACGATTCGAATCAATTTTTTTTGTCTTTTAAGAAAATGAGAAAATAAATCAGTACCGAAAACCGAATATCGATTAATACCATAAATCAATGTCAGAAAATTGTCCAAGTGCAATGACAATTTGTTCTCATTTTTCAGGTACTGACCCCTCTAATTTACTCAACAAATTAACTCGGTTAAACGAATGATCCGTATCAATTTTTCTTTTTTTATAAATAATGACAGAATAAATCAGTACCGAAAACCAAAGACCGATCAATATTTAATTTATTCATCAAATTAACGCGGATAAATGAACGATTCGTATAAATTTTTTTTTCTTATAGAGAAATGAAAGAGTAAATCAGTACCGAAAATCGAATATCGATCGATACCGTAAATCTGTGTCAGAAAATTGTCCAAGTGCAATGACAATTTGTTCTCATTTTTCAGGTACTTACCCCTCTAATATTATTCAATAAATTAACTTGGATAAACGAACGATTCGAATCAATTTTTTTCGTCTTTTAAGAAAATGAGAAAATAAATCAGTACCGAAAACCGAATATCGATTAATACCATAAATCAATGTCAGAAAATTGTCCAAGTGCAATGACAATTTGTTCTCATTTTTCAGGTACTGACCCCTCTAATTTACTCAACAAATTAACTCGGTTAAACGAATGATCCGTATCAATTTTTCTTTTTTTATAAATAAATGACAGAATAAATCAGTACCGAAAACCAAAGACCGATCAATATTTAATTTATTCATCAAATTAACGCGGATAAATGAACGATTCGTATAAATTTTTTTTCTTATAGAGAAATGAAAGAGTAAATCAGTACCGAAAATCGAATATCGATCAATACCGTAAATCTGTGTCAGAAAATTTGTCCAAGTGCAATGACAATTTGTTCTCATTTTTCAGGTACTTACCCCTCTAATATTATTCAATAAATTAACTTGGATAAACGAACGATTCGAATCAATTTTTTTCGTCTTTTAAGAAAATGAGAAAATAAATCAGTACCGAAAACCGAATATCGATTAATACCATAAATCAATGTCAGAAAATTGTCCAAGTGCAATGACAATTTGTTCTCATTTTTCAGGTACTGACCCCTCTAATTTACTCAACAAATTAACTCGGTTAAACGAATGATCCGTATCAATTTTTCTTTTTTTATAAATAAATGACAGAATAAATCAGTACCGAAAACCAAAGACCGATCAATATTTAATTTATTCATCAAATTAACGCGGATAAATGAACGATTCGTATAAATTTTTTTTCTTATAGAGAAATGAAAGAGTAAATCAGTACCGAAAATCGAATATCGATCAATACCGTAAATCTGTGTCAGAAAATTGTCCAAGTGCAATGACAATTTGTTCTCATTTTTCAGGTACTTACCCCTCTAATATTATTCAATAAATTAACTCGGATAAACGAATGATCCGTATCAATTTTTCTTTTCTTATAAATAAATTACAGAATAAATCAGTACCGAAAACCAAAGACCGATCAATATTTAATTTATTCATCAAATTAACGCGGATAAATGAACGATTCGTATAAATTTTTTTTTTCTTATAGAGAAATGAAAGAGTAAATCAGTACCGAAAATCGAATATCGATCAATACCGTAAATCTTGTCAGAAAATTGTCCAAGTGCAATGACAATTTGTTCTCATTTTTCAGGTACTTACCCCTCTAATATTATTCAATAAATTAACTCGGATAAACGAATGATCCGTATCAATTTTTCTTTTCTTATAAATAAATTACAGAATAAATCAGTACCGAAAAACCCAAAGATCGATCAAAACCTAATTTGTTCATCAAATTAACGCGGATAAATGAACGATTCGTATGAATTTTTTTTTGTCTTATAGAAAATGAGAAAATAAATCAGTACCGAAAACCGAAACGCACACCCCCAATAACGCAATTTCTGTCATGCATGCACGTACAAACACGCACACACATAATCAATTTGGTTCATAACAGAACACTAATACATTGTTCGAGCTGGACTGATAATCCGTTGTAACTTGCGATAGAATATACGTATACGCAGAGCGTGTATATCTCGACAATTGCTCGTTCTGCATACAGGTTCGCATTTTGTGAGAAACAGAGAGACAGAGAGAGAGAGGAGAGAGACAGAGAGAGAGGAGAGAGACAGAGAGAGAGAGGAGAGAGAGAGAGAGAGGGGGGGGAGAGAGGGGGGAAGAGAGAATCGCGAAATATAAAAATTATATGATAAAAAAAACACGTTATTCTAACCTTGTCTAAATTTTCCACGAGAGGCATCTCGTCGACGATAGTTACAGATTTTTCGCATCTCGATTTTGTGAACAGAGACTCGACTGCATCCGGACAACCGTGCGAGGGTTGAATGGCGGCGATGCGGGAGGGTTAATTCGATGCGGCTTGAGGTAGGGCGCGCACGAACAGTCGGCAGGTGTCGCCACGTCGCGACGTGATCCGGCATGCCGCGGCGCGGCGGCCACAGACGTAGCTGTCTGCGCGCGGGCGCACGCGTCATATACCCGGTCAGGCGATAATAATTCTCACGTGTGCACGCGTTGTTGCACGCTGCCGTTGTCAAACGCGACACCGTGACTCCGATACGCGCGCGTGAACGCGAGCGAAACGCATGCTCGCCTTCGCGCGCGCGTTATTCCCTATGTAGGTTAAAGACACGCAGTGGGGTACGGTCACGGCGTTGCGCAACGCGGAATATTCGCGAGTTACTCCACCTCTTTTGGAATCGACTACTGGGGTCGGGAAAATGTCTCCGTGAGAGAGTGAGTGAGTGAGTGAGTGAGTGAGTGAGTGAGTGAGTGAGTGAGTGAGTGAGTGAGTGAGTGAGTGAGTGAGTGAGTGAGTGAGTGAGTGAGAGAGAGAGAGAGAGAGAGAGAGAGAGAGAGAGAGAGAGAGAGAGAGAGAGAGAGAGAGAGAGAGAGAGAGAGAGAGCTACTCTCACCAACTTAGCCGCGTAAGAGTAACATGCATGCGCGCGCGGGGATCGTCTCGGATTTCTCGTCGAACGAGAATTTTCACGTGCCCAAAAGCGCGCGTGACAAGGTGTGTACAAACCACGTTCGCTCTCCTCCTCGCGCTCCCGAGACACGAACAAGTCGGCAGCGTATACTCCAGTGCCGACAGTGGGGAGAAAGAGACGAGAGAGACGTGTGCCGCTCTGTGTGTACAGTCACAACCAAAAACACGTTGCATGACATAGATTCTCGATCGACGCGGCGATTTTCGCGGAACCTTCCGATCCGGCGCAGCGCGGCGTGGCGGATCGACGGCCTATCGCGTCGCAATGCCCATGGCCGAATCCAAGTGCCGTCGATCGTGAGGCACTAGCACCAACCGAGACACGTCACCGGGAATGCAAAGCACCGGTCCTCATCGGAGCGAACGCGGTCACTGAACTAGTTTCGTTTCGACCCTGACACTGCCACTGCCATTGTCCTCGCGGAGATCGTGATTTTCGTGTCGGAGGCTCGATATTGCTGCGGGATTTATCGCACGTCGCCAATATTCTGTCGTGTTCTCACTTACCCCTCTCGGTTGACTCCATCGTCGCTCCGAACGGGGATGCGCGATGCCTGGACTAGCCAACCTGGGCGTGAGAGTGAGTGAGAGAGAGAGAGAGAGAGAGAGAGAGAGGAGAGAGGAGAGAGAGAGAAGAGAGAGAGAGAGGGAGAGAGAGAGAGAGAGAGAGAGAGAGAGAGAGAGAGAGAGAGAGAGAGAGAGAAGAGAGAGAGAGAGAGAGAGAGAGAGAGAGAGACCCGTCGGCGGCAGCGGCAGCGCGGGTGGCGGCGGACGAGTGGTCGCGGTAGCAGCGGGCGGGCGCACGTGGAGAGTCCCGCTCGTGGCTCACGGCGGCTGGGTCGGCTCGAAATTTCTCACCACGGTATAAACATGGCCGGCCGCGCGTTCGGTTGCACGGCTGTTTGCTCGTCACAATCGCGGCGG